TGAAGTCTCTTGTTTATGTGGCCCTTTCTGTCTCTTGATCTAATACTTTCCTTGTGTCTTTGGTGTTCTTCATTCTCCTTTACTCCAGGTGGTTGGGATCAATTGATGCATCTTAGATGGCTGCTTGCAAGCTTTTAAGACCCCAGACGGAGGGCAGTGTCTTTTTGCTGTTGGGCAGAAACCAATGGTTGGTTTGTCCCCTGGGTCTGCAGTTTATAGAGGCCTGGGTTCTTGCCACCTTCATGGTGATTGAAATCCTCAACAACAGGTATTCCTGGTCAGCTGGGTGCTGGGCACTGGCCCAGGTTCTGGATGGGAGTGGAGGTGGCTTTTCCAGAGGAGTAGAGGACAGTTCCACCTGTGGGTTCTGCCGATGAGATGTGCAGGTCAAACAGAATTTTCTGTCACTACTGGGGTTCAAAACATTCATTTGTTCACCTACTGAATCCTGCATCTGCTGTGTGCAAAGCAGCAAGCTAGGCTCAGTGGGTGGTAACATTAAAATGTTTTCACTCTAATTTAGGAGGAGACACCTGGAGGATCCTGATTCTAATATGTAACAGAGTCAAGTAATGAATCTAGAAAGAACTGTGGGCTCCAGAGGGAGTTGGACACTTGCACCGAGGGAGTTTAGAGTGACTTCATGAAGTAGGTGGCAGTTTGAGCCAAGTCCTGGAAGATGTTTGGCAGCTAGAACCATACTTTGCATATTCAAGAATTCAAATTTGCCTTGATTTGGCAAGAGAGAAGGAGAAAGGAGATGATCCACGTACATTCTGAAGTTTCTGAGAGGTATTTTTCAGGACACCTGCCCTCAGTGCAGAAGGTCAAAATCCCCAACTGCCCCAACTGCACCCAGGCTCATTAGCTGTATCCTGCAGTGCAGTGGCAGGCCAAGTCCTTCCTGAGGGACCACATGGACAGTGGCAGGTGGGACATTTGGCCACTTGTTCAGAAAAATACCTCAATCCTATAACTTCTGGTTTTGACAGGACCACTTTTAGGGCTGTTGCACATCTCTGCTCCTTTCACTGAGATGCCACTTGCCTGGGTCCCTATGCCATGCCCCAGTACCAGATATGGGGGCTGTTGTGACCCAGAGGCATTGGAGTCCCACACTACACAGCACACACCTTAACACCTAGTCTTGTCCCCTGGCCAGAGGCAACGGGACTTGTACTGACAACAGACACTAGGTGGCAGCACTGTGGCTATGACCCCACCAGCAGTTCCCCAAAGTGAAGAGCTAAGGATAAACCTGAAAGTTTGTTTGATTCTGGCAGAGATGCTTGTCTGAACTCTTCACCAGGACTGCAGTCCTCAGCCTTTAAAGGACCACTCGTCTGCTTACGTGTGTGACCCCCATTCAGGTGCACAGGTACTGTCGCTACTCACCTGTGTGATGTTAAAAGGGTCAGAGAGGAGTGTAAGACTAAAGGCCCTGTGGCACTAATGTTCTCTGATTCTCATTGAAGGAGCTGCTGTTTAGTTTCTGCAAAGAATTGAGCAACCAGAGGCCAAGGTAGTCTGAATTGGGACTGGAAAGGGAGGAAAAGTATTCTGATACAGTGAGAGATCTTAGCCTGTTTAGATTTAACTATATGAATATTTTTCCATGCTGACAGTATGCCCCTTAGACACCCTCTGAACTACACGCAAGATAAACCCATGCCAAGGATTTAACCTTGAGTCCAGGCTGTCTCCTGTCTGGAACTGTAAGGGTGGCAGAGAACTAACATTGAGTGCCTACTGTGTCTCTGACCTGTCAGACATTTGAGTGCCTACTGTGTGCTAGGCACTATGTTAAAAAACAAAAACCAAACCTGTTGCCGTTGAGTCAATTCTGACCCTGTAGAACAGAGTAGAACTGCCCCATACGGTTTCCTAAGAATGACTGGTGGATTTGAACAGCCAAACTTTTGGTTAGCAGCCGAGCTCAACAACTACGCCACCAAGGCTCCGGCACTATGTTAGGCACTGCAAATACTTTATCTTATTTCTCTTCAGTGTACATGTGACATAGTGGGAATAGCACAGGATTTGGTGTGTAAGTTCTGGGTTCTGATCCCACTCTGTCACTATTAGCTGGGTGTTCTTGGGCAAGTTACTCCATCTTTCAGTGTCTCAGTTGCTTTATCTGTAAAATGGAGTTTTATAATTTATGTGGGGACACACAGAATTCAGGCAGGCCTCCCTCAAAAGGTGATTTTGTGGGTTTCCTGAGGAAATACTTGTAAAGCATCCAGAACAGAAACTGGTGCATAGTTGATGCTGAGGAACTGATATTTCTTCTCAATAATTCTGTGAGGTGAGTATTATTCCTGTTTTACAGGGATCTCTGTGACAAGAAGTGACAATCTTGAAAAGATAACTGTTATCCTAGACAGGAAGTGTTGAAAGTTGTTGCTGGAATTATCATGTATGCTGTACAGCACAAAAAGATCTTTTGGGAAAGAAGGGATATGGTGAGAAAGGGGAAGGCAAGAGAGGAGGGGGAGGAGACACTAAGTAGCATTTGGAATTCAAGAGGTTTGAGGGAGCAGGAATGAGCTTTACTATTAAAAATTTTTATCCCTCATGCTACTAGGCCTGCTTGCACAGATATAAAATAATCCTAAATTGCCTTGAATGGCTATCAGTAATGGCCAAACTCCAGGGCCTGGTGGAGAGTCTCACATCACAGTGCAAGTTCAGCCTTGACTTCCCTTACAGCCCCAAAGGGACACTTTTACCTCGATGTGCCCTTGGGTGCTGAGGCAGCTCTGTCCTGCAATGAGGGGCTTGGCCTTGGCCATTGAGAAGGGAAAACAGCCATGACCCTTGAGGTAAAGGAAAATGGCTACGACCACAGTCATATGACTACAAGAGGGAGGGCTATACCCTCCTTGTGGGTTGAGGGAAAGGACGTGGAATCCAGGGAGGCCCAGGGAAGTGAAGTGACTTGTCCAGGGTCTCAAAGTGAGTTAGGCCTGTGTCAGGACCAAACTCCAGGTCTTGGCCATGTGGCCAAGAGAAGGAAGGAACCAGTTTTGTAGCTCAAGGAAGGTGAGGTATTCTTAAAACTTATTATCAGAAGAATAGGCCACCTGGGCTTTATTAGGTAGGCAGAAAGAACTATTGTAAACTAAGGAGCTTGGGAGACATGAAGAATATGTTTGCCGGACCTCAAAACAAAAATACCGCAGGTCCAAGGAAGGAGTGAATTCAAAGCACAAACGCAAATTTGCACAAGATTACAAAGAGCACAGTTTTGGTCAGTGTTGTTTTTAGAACATAATACACAAAGCTGTGTTCATTCTCTCAGAAAACATTTTCGTGAGCAGTATAAATAACTTAGGAATTAGAAGCCACTTCTGTTTTTCCTTTTGACAACACCATTTTGAACTATGACAAATCACAGGCAAGTTAGCTCCTCCAGAGGAAAAGATAGTCCCAGGGAGGCTGACAGTCCTGGGCAGGCAAGGCCATGCCAAGAGTGAAGGAAAAAATCTGTTTGCCTGGGAACAGGTCTGT